TATTTATATATATTTATTCTTGACCCTTCTTCCTCATCCCCTCCCACCTTACTCTTCATTCCTCTGCCTGCTTGTTGCACTTTATTGCTTTTGGGATGCAAGAGACAATTTTTAGGACAATTAATTTATTTCCTTATCCTTCCTCTTCTTTTGCAGTTCTGTATTGACTTGAGCTAGAAAAATCTCAAGGTTCAAATAATGATTTAAGTCTAATTTTATGAAGCTCTTTTCCTGTTTTATTCTTTTGGTTTTTTTGTAAACATTGCAGAAAAGGTCCCCTTTATTATATTTATTTATTCTGAGTGTGGAGTAGTAAATGGAAATTAGTAGAAATGGAAACTTCTGGTGACTTATCACAATATTATTGACAATTTTATAAGGCCGTTAGCAACATTTGCCATTTGTTACAATTATTTTGGACCTTTAAATCATTCAGAATGTGTCACTCAGAAAATGGAGTGTTCTGAAGAAAATAGTATCTGGAAAACGCAATGTTTCTCATTTAATAACTTTAAAAATAAACATGAATTCCGTTTCAAAGATTATAGGCAATTTGGTAAGGCTCTTGGTCTCAAATATAATCTTCCTTCTTACTATATTTTCATTTCCTAGGGAGAAAATCCTCCACCTCCAGGCTTCATCATGCATGGTAATGTTAATCCAAACACTGCTGCTCTGCCTCCTCCGTCTCCGGGTCATATGCACAGCCAGATACCACCTTATCCACAGCCGCAGCGTAAGTAGTGGGACCCTCAGGGCCATCTCATGTAGTAACCATTGACTGGCAGCATCAAGGCCAGTGTCAAATCAGTTTTGACAAACAGAATAAGAGGGCTATGATGTAGCTTAGTGGTAGAGTGTTTGCTTAGAGTGTTCAATCTCTAGCACTGGAAAAAGAAAAAAAAAGACAAGTAAGAGCCATTTGCAAAGGACTCCTGACCATACTATAGAGAAACGTGGTTTCCTAAGGGTGTCCTGAACCTGCTGCCAGAAAGTAGCTTCGTAATTTCTCTGTTCAGAACAGTGCCTGCCAGGTCATGTATAAACCCTGTTAAAGAGAATCACACCTTGTGCTTTTGGTATAAAGTAACAGAGTGTTAGAAATTATTTAGTATAATGTTCTTTTCCTTCAGGCAACATTACACAAACCATAGTTTAGGGAAGTTGATTCAAGGACCGTTTGTTGTTTTTTTTCTATTTTAAATGTTCTTGTTGACTTTTTTAATTGTGTTTGTTTTAGTACAGACTTTTTGGAAATAGTTTTTGGCTCCCAACAAAGTTGAGCAGAAAGTACAGAGTGCTCATATATGTGCAACCTACTCACTTTTTACACCTTGCTCCACAGTGGTATGTTTGTTGTATTAGTGAAGAAATGTGCCTTATTATCACCCAAAGCCCATAGTTTATATTAAGTGCACTGTTGGGTTTGTATATTCTGTGGACTTTGACAAATGTACCTATATTTGTATTAGTGTTTGGTTTTGTTTTTTGTTTTGTTTTTTTAACTTTTTGAGTTATTTTTGTTTTACGTATATAGTGTTTTGCTTACATGTATATATGTACATCGTATGTGTGACTGTTGCCTGTAGAAGTCAGAAGAGGAGTTATAGATAGTTAAGAGCTCCTCTGGGTTCTGGGAACCAAACCCTGGTCCTCTGCAAGTAGCCAGTGCTCTTACCTGCTGAGTCCTCTCTCCAGCCCCTTCCCGTTGGTTTTTAAGAGAACAGTTAGACTTGAAAAGTAAAAATTATTGTTCCACAACTAAGAACAAAAACCTAAATAGATAAAAGCCTTATTGGGAAAACTGTTGTATTAAATAACTATTAAACATTAAGAACGAAGAGCCTAGAAACCTCAAAGGAAAATTGTAAGGTCAAACAACTATCACAAATTAAGAGCAAAGAACTTAAAAGACCTCAGGGGGGAAATGATAAGATTAAACAATTACTAAACAACTGTTAAAAAACAAGCAGCTCTACTTAACTAATTCTAAAGAATGTGTGCTAGCTATTGAGGTTGTTCTTACCATGAATACAAATTTGATCCAGTCTTTCATGCAAGTGTTTATTGTACTGCCATCTTCAGATAGCAGGTCTACCAGATACACTCTGCAGAGGTTCATCCTTGCCCCTGGTTGTTCCGAATGTGGTGTTAAGATTTCTCATGTGAGTTCAGGCTGAGGGATATCTTGAGCTACCATCAAATATTTATCAAGAAAAAGACATGCTCTGAATGTACAAATCCTGCATGCCTCCATCTTGTGGTTAGTGCCTGTCATTGCGGTCTTCACAGAAACTGGAAGTCTCAGAAAAGGGTCAGTCTTAACAGCACTTGGGTATGATGATGCAAAGATTTTTATATCCAGTAACATAATGGGGAAGGTGTTTTTGTCGTCTTTGCTGTTTTTGAAGTGCTGGAGGTGGAATCCAGGACGTTGCCCATGCAGGGCAAGTACTCTATCACTGAGCTATATCCCCAGCCCCTAAGTATTAATTATTTTTGGTGTAGCTTATAAGAATAATCATCTCCAGCTGGGTGTGGTGGCATACACCTTTAATCCCAGCACTTGGGAGGCAGAGGCAGGTAAATCTCTGAGTTCAAGGTCAGCCTGGTCTACATAGTAAGTTCAGGCCAACTGGGGCTACAGGGAGACCCTATCTCAAAAAGAAAAGACACCTCCCCCCCAAAAAAAAGAATTATCATCTCTATAGAACAAGATAAATTTTTTGATTTTTCTGCTGCTGTCTGAATAAACTTGTAACTAATTAAAATTTCTGTTTCTTCCCTTTGGTGTAGCTTACCAACCAGCGCAGCAGTATTCCTTCGGAACAGGGGGGTCAGCAGTTTACCGACCGCAGCAGCCTGTTGCTCCTCCTGCTTCAAATGCTTACCCTAACACCCCTTACATATCTTCCTATTCTGGGCAGTCTCAGATACATACAGCACAGCACCAAGCTTCCTCACCTACCTCCAGCTCTGCTGCTTCTTTCCCTCCTCCCCTTTCCTCTGGAGCATCCTTCCAGCATGGCGGACCAGGAGCTCCACCATTATCTTCAACTTATGCACTGCCTCCTGGAACAACAGGTACACTGCCTGCTGCCAGTGAGCTGCCCGCGTCCCAAAGAACAGGTCTGCGCTTGAAAGAGATTTGGTTGGGTCTCCTGTCAGGAGCAGATGTGGGTGTTCTTTCCCTCCTCCCCTTTCCTCTGGAGCATCCTTCCAGCATGGCGGACCAGGAGCTCCACCATTATCTTCAACTTATGCACTGCCTCCTGGAACAACAGGTACACTGCCTGCTGCCAGTGAGCTGCCCGCGTCCCAAAGAACAGGTCTGCGCTTGAAAGAGATTTGGTTGGGTCTCCTGTCAGGAGCAGATGTGGGTGGATATTGGTTGGGTTTTTAATAACAAATTCTAAGGTTTTCTAAAAGTGTGATTCTACCAAAATGATCTTAGGCTTCCAGATGAGGCAAGCTTTAGACTGAAGCTTCTAAAGAGTAAAGGCATATAATCTGTCATTGAGCTTATTTTAAATGGCAGGAATTAATTGGCAAGATAAGTGATAGTTGAAATCAGATTTAGTTGATATTGATTAGGTGAAATGCTGAGCTTTTTGTGGTACCTAAGGATTCATGCTCTACCTCTGAGCTATATCACTAGCCCTTAATTTCTTTACTTGAGCTAAGGTATGCTGGATGCTCTTACAGTATTCTCAATTTTGAGTATTATCTTTGGGGCTGGTGAGATGGCTCAGTGGGAAAAAGTGCTTGCTGTGCAAGCCTGATGACCTGAGTTCAATCCCTGGAACCCCATACAAAGGTGGAAGGAGATAGTCAACTCCACAAAGTTGTCCTCTGACCTCCACACAAGTGCATGGCATGCATGTGCCCACACACATCTCATACATTGCAATAATTTTTAAACACATCACAAATATTTTATTTTTTATATTAAAAATAAGAAAATATTTTTAAAGTGTTTAAAAATTATTTGCAGTTTAAATTCATTCATGAAAATTAAACAGTACAGGATCCTAATGAGGTTGTAAAATTCTTACAGTTGTGATTGTTTTAAATGTGAGGCATGATCTCAATATACTTGACCAAGAAAACAAAAATAAGAGACTATAATTCTCACAAGGTGATCCTGTAAGCCAGCAGAAAGTCATCCTGCTGCAGTACAGTGATTCTCTACCAGGCAGCCCTTCCCCGTTAGGCGTATGGAAAATTCTAGGCATATGGTTTTTGTCTACTATTAAACAATTAAACATGTACATGAACATTTCTTTTTGTGTGTGTGTGGGTGGTATCTTTTTGAGCTATAGCCCCAGCTGGCCTGGAACTCACTATGTAGACCAGGCTGGCCTTGAACTCACAGAGATCCACCTGCCTCTGCCTCCTGAGTGCTGGGATTAAAGGTGAATGTGCTTTTAATCCCAACCCTTGGGAGGCAGAGGCAGGTGGATCTCCATGAGATCCAGGTCAGCCTGGCCTACATAGTGACTTGCAGGCAGCCTGGGACTAGGGAGACCCTGTCAAAATAAACAAAACAACAACAAAAAAGTGCATTTGGTCGTTTATGTACAAAGTAAACTTGTTCTAACCTGGCAGAGAAACTATATGGCTGATGGGAATAACCAGACTAACTTTGTTCATGTTCAGCATGCACTGTGCATGCTTAGCTGTCTTGTTACTTCTTGCATGTTAACCAGCTTCTGTATTTTAATTAACAGTTATAGCTTTGCCATATTTTAGTTGATTTTCTAAAATTTTGTTGAAGTTATATAATTAGGACTGAAATTTTTATCTTATTTTAATGTGTCTTGGATACTGGTTTTGTTCAAGATTTAGAAATTCCACTTGTCGAGTAAATTCTTCCTGTTAGACCCTACTGAATTTCAAGCCCTCTATTAATGAATAGAAATTATGTGCCAAGGATGTAGAGGAACAAATGTCACAGTTCGAAAGACGTTTGTTTATTCAGTCAGTTCTTAATAAATACATGTTTAGTCTGTAGTTGGAATTATTCCAGACAGGTAGAGAGGCAGAAAAGGACAGTGTATTTCTGGGATAATTTGTGTTATATGTTGGAAAGTAAAATTTGTATTTGGGTCAAAATTTTGAGCGCCTCATGTACCAGGACAAGGAGTTTATACAGAATTAGAGGCAAGGCAAGCACTCTCCCCCAGTTCTGGAATTGAATTAATAACAGTGTAGGTTTGGGGAGCATAGCCTCCTTTATTGCTGGTCCAAGGCTACAGAAAAGCATCCCTGTTTTACTGTCTGGGCTGAGTGGTGTTTCTACATGCTTTTTTTTTTTGATCTTTTTGAAACAGGGTCTTCCTGTAGCTCCAGTTGGCCTGGAACACTATGTAGACCAGGCTGGCCTTGAACTCACAGAAATCCACCTGCCTCTGCCTCCCAAGTGCTGGGACTACAAGTCTGAGCCATGACGTCTGGCCAAGAGTAAATACTTTTAAAGAAGGCCTTAGGATTTTACCAAAAAATTGTTTTCTGATACAATAGCCTTCAAGCTATCTTTGGATGGTAGAATTACTGTCTTTGTTAAATATTTGAAAATTTAGGTGTAATAGTGTGCTTTTTTTTTGGTCTTTTTGAGACAGGGTCTCCCTGTAGCCCCAGCTGTTCTGGAACTCACTCTGTAGACCAAGCTGGCCTTGAACTCAGAGAGATCTGTCTACCTCTGCCTCCCGAGTACTGGGATTAAAGGCGTGCACCACCACACCCGGCCTGTAGTGTGCTTTTATTTAAAAAAAAAAATTCTTTTTTTTTTTAAATTTTATGTGTATGAGTGTATTGCCTGCATGTATGTTAGTGCATCCGTATTGTGCAGTGCTGCAGTTCGGATTCCCCTGGAACTGTAGTTAAAGACAGTTTGTAGCTGCCATGTGAGTGCTGGGACTCAAACCCGGCTCCTCTGCAAGAGCAGTCAGTGCTCTTAGCTGCTGAGCCATCTCTCCAGCCCAGTGGTGTGCTTTTAAAACCAGTGTCGCTTAGTTTTGTGGGCTCTTCGTTAGCCAAATCACAGTACCTTGTACTTAGTATTCTTCCAGTGAAGGAAAGGAGCATGAGAGACTGCCTTTTCTTTGGGTAATTTTATTTTTATTTGGAAGATAGTTTGAAAGATGCATGTCTTTCTGATTTTAATGTTCAATCTTTGACCCTTTAAAAAAATGTGACATGATGGGCTTATGCAGAAAGGGAAAGTATATGACTGACTGTGATGCTGTATTCTTTTCATCTCAAATTATATTCTAGCTAATTGTCTTCATGCCGTCAGCATTAATATTTTTGTTGAAATCCACTGGAAGTCACATTAGCTAGTGCATAGACTATACATTTATACTAAGATGGTTCTCAGTGGGATTGAGTAAGGGTGGTGCACAGCTCTCCTGTTGTGTGAGACCAGTCTCCACTTCCTTTTCTGGTGTCTATGAAAGACTGGTCTCTACCAGGTCAGCAAGGTTCTGCAGTGCCCACATGCTATGTTCATTTTCAAAAGTAATTTTCCCTGAATTTTTGTTTTTTTCTCTTTTAGAGACAGGGTCTCACTGTATAGCCCTGGCTGGCCTGAAACTTAGGTAGACCAGTCTGGCCTTGAACTCAGAGTTCCACCTACTTCTACCTCCCATATGCTGGGATTAAAGGTGTATGTCACCACCTGGGAAATTTTTATTGTTTTTACTGTAGGAAGTATTTTCTAAAGACTCAATATAAAGAAAAAAAATATAGCCTGCAATTCCACCAATCCAAATATAATCATTATTAATTTAGGGAATTTTGTTCCCTTGACACACACATACACATACACATATACACATATTTATATGCATGTATGTATGTTTGCCTATATTGAAGATTTTAATATAGAGCTGGAGAAATGGTTCAGCAGTTAAGAGTACCTGCTGCTCTTCCAGAAGATCCAAGTTTGGATCCCAGCACCCAAACTAGGCAATTTAGAACCACCTGTAACTCCAGCTCCAGGGGTACTGATGTTCTTTTCTGGCCTCTTTTGGCACTAGCACACATGGGGCATACACACAGTCCGATACACACATATACATAAGAATGTCTTTTATTTTAGAGATAAACTTCAAAGAATAAGTCTTTTAAAAAGATTTATTGTAGTGAAATATACATAGCATGAAATTTGCCATTTTAACCATGTTGAAGTGTACACGTCTATGGCTTTAAATACATTCACATTGCTTTGCAGGTGTTTTACAGTCCATCAGCAGAACTTTTTCGTCACCCCATATTGACCTGTGTTCCCATTAAACAATACCCTCCTGTTCTTACCAGTCTTCAGTATCCATTGCTCTGTTCTCTGTCTCCATTTGATTATTCTTCAGTACCTCATATGAGTTTTATGTCTGACTTATTTTGTGGCTTTACTGGTATAATAAATTCAGATTTTATTTATATTATTGAGACAGGGTCTCATATATCCCAGGCTGGCCTTGAACTCATCATGTAGCCAAGGATTACCTGTAATTTCTCAAGCACCAGGATTATAGGCATGTAACACCATACCTGGTTTATGCAGTACTGAGACTCAAACGCAGGCCTTTATATATGCTAGGCAAGCATTCTACCTACCCCACCCCCTTTATGTAGCTTGTTTTCCCTGCTGTCATTATTAGAGAGTAGTTCTGCAAAATGAGGTCAATAAAATTGTGTTTACAAATCTGTTTAAGCCATCAAAACAAAGAATTATATCTGAGAATCAGTTCCCACTCAGAAAGGAAGGGAGGGAGGGAAGGAAGAACAGGACAGGATGAAGGAAGGGGGAGGGAGGGAGGGAGGAAGGAAGGAAAGAAGGAAGGAAAAGGAGAGAAAGACAGACAGGATAGGGTGGGACGGAGCTGAGGACCAGGGAGATAGCTTAATGGGTAAAAGTGCTATGCAAGCCTTAACAACCTGAGTTCTAACTCTGAAACCCACATAAAAAGCTGGGTGTGGTGGGCCAGCTAGCCTGGAGTAAGCCTTGCAGCAACAGAAACCACCAGAGAGATCCTGCCTCAACAAGATGTGAAAGGGGAGAACTGACTTCTCAAGTTGTTCCATCTTCTATATGTGCTATGTGGGGAGATGTGCCCCCCATATTCATTCATTCATTCATTCATTCATTCATTTATTCATATTCTCCTCCCCTTCCTCCCCCTCTCTCCCCCTCCTTCTCCCTTCCGCTCCCTCTCTCACACACAGAGAATTGATTATAGCTGAGTTAAAACTATATTAAATTGAGAAAATGTGTGAACAGGGTTTATTAAAATATATGGTTCGGTATATTGCATGGTTTGAAGTTAAGAGTCATCACAGGGCATCTGTTAGTGAGAAGGCTTGGTGATTGTATGACCATTCCCTTTTATTCAGCAGACCTCTATACCACCCATGCCTTCTGTTTTCTCAAATTTAAGCTAGCCAACTGTGTTCTCTTGGGAGTCTTAATTCTGATTTGATTCAGTTTTACTCCTAACTTTGAATTTGATTTCACCTTGACTTGGTGTCATCACTAAGAGTTCATATGAAAATTGTTCCTCAGACTTCTTTATGCTGCTAATAGTTTGTGAAAACAGAACACTCTTTCAGGCTGTAGTATCCAGGACTTATGCCATAGCCATGAGAGATTAAAGGAAAAGTAGTCCTCTTGTCCCAGGATAGGGCAAGAGGGCATATTGTTGACACTACTCCCTGAAAGAAAAAGCTCAAATCCAAGCTGTTGCCAATATTTGCAGATTTGTAGTATGTGGGTCTTTCAGCCCAGGTGCTGAAGTAACCAAAAAAGGAAGAAAAGGGCTAGAAGTGTGTCAGTAATTGGAATAAGTTAGTCCTCTTACAGTGTATACAACTTCAGATGTTAACTGTAGGTCACATCGTGCTTGGGGAGTTCAGTTATAAAAGTCATCACTTAAACATTTACAGGCAGTTATCATTGATCACTCTTTTCTTCAGTTAAACCATAAATGAAGAAGTTGGTTTGCATTTGGGAGTCATATTGTGTGAAAAACATCTGTCAGTAAACACTAGAATTATATTCCATGCAATGAGAGTTCAGGTTTGAGTCTACTACTCCTTCCTCCAAGGCATGTGCTTCTTGAGTGAAGCTCAAACTGAGTCGAATTCCCTGTTTTAATTGCTATATTCTCTTGGCTCTTTTCTGGCCAAGTGAAGATAGTTGAATTCACAAAGGTTTTATGTGCATATGAATATACATACACTCAGGCTTTTGATTTCAGGCCTGGTGTGGCCTGACTTGTGTTTTCCTCTTCTCCATTGCTAGGAATTGCAGTTCTCTTCAGTATTGACACCACCTGGGTCAATACTGGAACAACAGCCATAGGCCCTACTACTCAAAACTCATGAATTAGAATCTGTAGTTAAATGAGATTATCACAGCTTTGAATGATACCAGAATGGAAACATTTAGTGCAATATGGCTTGATTAGATATATATGTTGGGAAGTGCTATGCTCTTAGGATACTCAGCTTCATTTGTCAAGTAGAGAAACAATTTATTCAAAAGCTAGGGAAGCATTGTGATTGTTTTTTTTTTTAAATTTTTATGCATATCAGTGTTTTGCTTGCAGGTAGGTAAGTGCACCTGAGTCATGCAATGTCTGTGGAGGTCAGAAGAGGGTGTCAGATCCCCAGACCTGGAGTTATGGGTGGTTGTTAGCTGCCATGTGGGTGCTGGGAACTGAACCTAGCTCTTCTGCAAGAGCAGTCAGTGCTCTTAACCGCTGAGCCATCGCTCCATCCCCTCATTGTGATTTAAAAAAAAAAAATTTTTTTATGTGTATAAGTGTATTCCTGCATGTATGTAAGTGCACCTGTGATGTGCAATGCCAGGGACATTGGATTTCCCTGGAACTGGAGTTCTGAATGGTTGTTAGCCGCCATGTAGGTGCTGGGAATCAAACCCAGGTCCTCTGCAAGAGTAGTCAGTGCTCTCAACTGCTGAGCCATCTCTTCAGACCCCTCATTGTGATTTTTAAATAAAAGATAAACTTTTCTCTTAGAAGAGATAGCATGGTAAGGCAAAAAAAAAAAAAAAAAATTTAAAGAGTTAATTATTGGGGCTGGAGAGATGGCTCAGGAGTTAAGAGTACTGACTGCTCTTGCAGAGGACCCCGGTTCGATTCCCAGCATCCACATGGCAGCTAACAACCATAGTAACTCCAGTTCCATGGGAGCAGGTGCACTTACACACATGCAGGCAATAGAACTCATACACATAAAATAAAAGTTTGTTTTTTTTTTAAAGAATTATGCTGGGCGTGGTGGCTCATGCCTTTAATCCCAGCACTCGGGAGGCAGAGGCAGGTAGATCTCTGTGAGTCCAGGATGGCTGCAGCTACAGGGAGACCATGTCTCAAAAAG